CTTCAATCAAGACAGTGTTTGCATTAGTAGCTATTTGAGATTTGCATATGGAGCAGATGGATGTTAAAACAACATTTTTGCATGGTGATTTGGAGGAGCATATTTACATGGAGCAGTCAGAAGGGTTCACTCAACCTGGACAGGAGCATCTAATTTGCAGATTAAAGAAATCATTGTATGGGTTGAAACAGTCTTCAAGACCAGTACAAGTGATTCGACTCTTACATGATTCAAATTGGCTACAAGAGATGTGAGTATGATTGTTCTGTCTATGTCAAGAGCCTTGATGATTGTTATAACATTTTTTTGTTATTGTGTGTTGAAGATATACTGATTGTTGCAAAGAATATGCATGATGTCATTGGCTTGAAAGCTTTATTGAGTCAGGAATTTGAGATAAAAGACTTGGGTCATATGAAGAAAATTCTTGGAATGAAGATTCATCGAAATAAAGACTCGACGATTGTGTTTATCTCAATGAGACTATGTTGAGAAAGTGCTAGACAGGTTTGAGATAAGTCAGGCAAAGCCTGTGAGCACTCCCTTAACAAATCATTTCAAGTTTTCTTCAGAACAGTGTTCAAAGACAAAAAAAAGAAATCGAAGACATGACAAAGGTTCCATATGTCAGTGCGGTTGGCTATTTGATGTATGCAATGGTATGTACTCACTCTGATTTTGCTCATATTGTCAGTTAAATCTGCATATACATGTCTAAACTAGGAAAGCGACATTGGGCAGCAGTCAAATAGATTTTCAGGTATTTGAAGGGTACTGTAGGATATAAAATTATTTTTGACAGTCAGCAGAATGATCCTTCAATTATGAGGTACGTTGATTCAGACCATGCAGACAATTTGGATGGCAGAAGATCTACAACTTGGTATGTGTTTACTCTTAGTGGAGGGCCTATATGTTGGAAATCAACAGTTCAGTCTATTGTGACATCATCTAGAACTGAAGCTGAATACATGACAGTAGCTAAAGCTGTTAAAGAAGTCTTATGGCTTACTGGGCTAGTAAAGTAACCGGTGTTGAGCAAGATGGAGTTGAATTGCATTATGATAGTCAAATTGTGATAGTCAAATTGCCATTTATCTGGCTAAGAACCAGGTGTACCATGTGCGAACTAAGCACATTGATTTCAGGTATCACAAGATCAAAGAATTGATTGCTTTTGGTGATATTTTGTTGTAAAAGGTTCATACAGATGAAAATGAAGCTAATATGTTGACCAAGCCAGTTACTATCAACACGTTCTTGCATTGCTTGGACTTATAGAATGTTTGCAGTTGCTAGAGAAGCAATATGACCCAACCCACATTCGTGCATGTGTAACTCCCAGGTATCTTTTCTCTTGAAGGGCTTGATATTCGCCAAGGTGGAGATTTGTTAGGTATGACTCATATACCAGATAAGGGACAAATGTTGAAGCGGAATGGAGCGAGCAAGCGGAGCAGAACAGAGCGAGTGAAGCAAGCCAGCGGAAGCATCTGTCTAGTCGAGGAGTTACATTATGTAAGTTGGGGGTGCGAGGGCAGCACCCCCACGGTACATTACATGCGTAATTTTGTAATTACATATTATACAACAAGGCTACATATATATATAGATATATATATATATATATAGTATATTGTAACCCTAATGAAGATCTTATACTCTTTTTCTGAATTAAAAAAAAGTCGTCGTTATACCTCTACCTAGAGCATTTTGCCGATTATTTCGTCTCTACTCCATCTTGAAAGCTTAGCCATGGCGAGATTCCACTCGGAACACCAGCCAAACTCGTCTGTGCCAAAAATAGGGGGAATAATTGAGCTTGGGTTCTGCACTATGGCTTTATAGTCTTCTTCTATCCTCGTAAACTTATCCATAATCATCTTATGGCTTGTAACAAAAAGTCGTCGTTATGCTCTTGTGGACGTAGGCATTTTTGTCGAACCTCGTTAAATCTTTGCGTTCTTCTGGATTTGTGTTTCTCTGCCCTAAATTTCTCAACAAGTTTCTTGCAAAAAAAGTAATATTAATTATTTTATTATAATTGTATCCATCAATTAATTCATTTTCTAATTTAAAATTACTAAATTTCATGTAATAAATCTAATCTTTACTTTAAACCCACGTAACACCGGCACGTTTTTCGTAAGAACTTAAGTTCTTATGCATGGCTTGCGAGTAACATCTTAAACAAAACTAGCCTATTCTTAACAATAAATGAGTTAAATTGCAAAGGTGTCGTTTGCAAATAGCATGCTAGAAAATCATTGCCTACTTATCACCACAATTAAGGGGTCTTGGTTGGTCTCTGCACCCCTGTCGCCGGCCACCATAGCCGGCCACCACCACCAGCCGCTGACCGCTGCCGCCAATCACCTCTGCCACCACCTACTACCACCGACAAATACATACATTATTTTTGTTTTTCTTCAAACCAAACAAAAAAATAATAAAGTTATTCATTTATTTTACAATGAACCAAGCAACTCTAAAGTATTTCACATATAATACATTACTACTACATTACATTCATTTTACACTGCACACCTTTTCAAAAAACTAAACAACCCTTAAAATAAATTGTGGTGCAGATAATTTATATGGGTTATTATTTTAACAAAATCTTATTTAATTGTTACTACAATTACATTAGTAATGGTATGTTGCTTCCAGCGGATTCTCTAACATAAGAAAAATTCAATTCTAACATGAGAGAGAGGGAACCATGAGTGAAACGGTAGAAATTATAATTTCCTGGGAGTCAAGCTAGAGAATTTTCTCAGTTTCATTTAATAATAAATAAAAAAAATTACAAGTAAAACCATCATTTATAAAAATTCTAGTTGCAGGATAAAACCAAACTATTTAAAATTTAAATCTAGAGAAAAAAAAATCTAATAATCCTTGTCTATCAAAGTTAAAAAAAAAAGATGAAACTAAAATTAAAATATTAAAATTAAATAAAATTATCACAAAGGATAAAAAAAATAATACAACTCTTTAAAAAATCATAGACTAATCATGGATGCACATATTGAAATGCATCAACTCCCTTTAAAGTGATAGAACTATTCCACTAAATAGTCAATATGAGCATGTCATGAAGTTGATTTATGCATCTATGGGACATTAATGATCGGAATGTTTGACATGGCCATGATTACAATATGACTCATTGTAATCATGGCATACATTGTAATATTACAAAATAAGAGGATTTAAATCTATACCACGCATTCTTACCTATTTACATATCTAAAACCCAAAATTAATATTATCATCATCATCATCATCATCATTATGATGATGATGATACGACGATGATTATTATTATTATTATTACATAAATATATATATAACATTTATAAATCATAATCATATCAAAATATATGCATAAAAAAGGGTTCTTTCAATTTCAAAAAGTAAATATTAGTGGTACTTTTGATGTTATGTTCGAGATTCGAAGGTTCTACACGTAAATATTAAGATTTCGATGTTAAATATATATAACTACATAAAAATTAAGTGATATGCTTGCAAATCCCCCTATAAAATGAAAACTAATTACAATTTCATCTATATGACAAGCATCTTTATAAGAAAAATTTACATCATACACATAATGATGTCTCAACAAAATTGCGTATAAGATTGATGAAACTTCTAAATGACTTGGTAATGTTGATTCCATAGTAGATTAAAAAAAAATTAATGTCCAAACAAGTTTAGCATCCCCAAAGTATTTCATAGAATTAATCCACGCATCTTTCACCAGAAAAACTTTTTCATTATTCGCAATAATATACGAAGGAATTTAGTGGAACCCATTGAAGGAAAATGGGGAGTCATAAAAGATAATAAGAAGAAATTATGATCCCTTAGAAATCAAGCCAGTAAGAGAAAAGAGAAGGGAAAAGAGAAGAATCAAAAGAAAAAGGAGGACTTGCTTTCAATTTATATCAGAAGAAGATATCAAGGATTACAAGAATTGAAATCCTTCTTGATACATAAATGATAACAAAGCTTAGAAGCAAACTCAATTTACAAAAATAGGGTTATATGATAAATGCAAACCTAAATAAATTCTGAAAATTCTAAACCTCTAATTTAAAAAGAACATTATCTCTAAATGCATTAAAAATGAAATAAACATAAAGGAAACAATAAAAAAAAATTATTAGATTTGATACATGTTTTGTAGTTTCATTTAGCCACAAGTTATTGTATTGCGAATAAATAATTTAATCACACACTAATAAACAATTTAAACTTTTACATGCCACAAAAACAGCCCATTCATGCACCATTTGTTTTCAAAATAGAAACCTAATACAAATATTTTTTTAATTGATAATAGAGAACAATCTTAATTACCAAAATATAGGCACAAGACTAGTTAGTGATGAGGAAGGCACAAAAGCCACATACAAACTTCATACCACACAACAAGCTAGAAAATATTAACTTTTAAAGGACACAAGATGAAACTCAAACTTATGACCAAAAAACAAAAAAAATTAGGATGATATATTCTCTTTAAGACTCGTTTGCTATTTAAAAATAGAAACATGTTTGAAATAAATTAGATTTTCCAGTTCCATACTTTCATTAACTCTCTTAAAATTTACTAAAATCTAAGGATTATGATTTCAAACACAAAATTAATGAATATAAAATTATCATGATTCAAAATATCTTTATGGGGCATTCACAAACATAGCACACAATTGTCATGTATTTACATACCTCACACCCAAAATTTCATATTTACACACATAGCACTCAAATCTTTAATATCAAAAATAGCACTGTTACTAATTTTTAAAAGTGAAATACATCTTTTCAAGTAGAGATTTAAAGCATCAAAAAGTTATGTATGTAAAAATAAAAGTTTAGGTGTGAGATATATAAATAAATTAAATTTATGTGCTCCGTATGTAAATTTCCCTCCCAAATATATATATTATATATATATATATCCATTATAGCAATAGGCACACCTGATTTCCAAGTTTATCAGCTGAAGAGATTCACCCAACTTATCCTTCGTCAGCCCGGCGGTGATCTCCACTCGTCCCCCACCCGAACAGTACTTCACACAAATCAATAAGAAATCGGCGAGTATTTGCTGAAGCCTCAGACTGTCTCCGTAGACATACTCGCTTATTAAGATTTTAGGTATGTCGTAGACGACACTTATTCCCTTTTCATTGCTTGGAAGTATTACTTGGCTAACAGCAGTAACCACCACATCATTTAGAGTAAACTCGTCCATTTCCAACTCCAAGCAACTACAAGTAAAAAAAAAAATTAATTTCAATTAAAGAAGATTTACATAGATACCGCTCAAATCCTATGTATTTACATGCCTAACACCTAAACTTCAATTTTTACAGATATGCCACCTTATCTATGCTTGAAAATGTGTATTTCGCCTTTTAAAAGTTAAAATAGTAGTATTTTTGGTGTGATATGAAAGATTTGGGCTGTATAAATGTAAAAAGTAAAGTTTATAAATGTAAAAAGTAAAGAATGTAAAAAGTAAAGTTTAGATGTTAGATATAAAAATACATAAGAATTGGGTGGCGGGTATGTGAATGCCTAGGCGTTTCCATACCTAGCAAACAATTCTTATATATTTACATATTTCATACCTAAACTTTCATATTTACACTCGCATCACTCAACTCTTTAACATGAGGTCAAAAATAGCACTATTACAGCTATTTAAAAGTGAAATGCACCAAGCATAGATTTAAAACCCCTAAGTGTTGTGCATGTAAATATGAAAGTTTAGATGTAAGATATGTAAATACATAAGAATTGTGTGCTACGAACGTAAAATTCCTAAGAATCAAATTTAAAGAGCTTCATGAGAAGCATAAAATAAGACCTCCAATGACAAAGCAAAAGAAGATCAACATACATACCATTCAATTCTTATTTTCATATCTAACACCTAAAGTTCAATTTTTACACACATGCCATTTTCCTTATGCATGAAAAGGTGTATGTCACTTTTTAAAAGTTAGACAGGTGGTATTTTTGATGTGATATAACAGATTTGGGTGGCATAAAAAATGTTTAGGAACTAGATATGTAAATATCTCTGAAGCAAATACCTGTCCATTATGTTCTCTAGGTCCAGATCATTAAGGATCCTATTAAGCTGAAGGTGACATTTTGTTCCTGTGTTCAGAAGTAGCCTTTGTTCGTCTCCCAACTCTGTCCCTTCGAGCAATTTTTGTGAATATAGGATACCGGAGAGTGGACTTCTAATTTCGTTCCTTATATACGCTAAAGCCTTCAACTTCTTCAATGCGGTTAGATGCGAAATTTGCTGCGTTTGTATAACTTGCTGGAGTTCAGGACTCGTCGAGTGGAGAAAGCAAAATACACCAGTTATATTTCCATCCGCATCGACTTTTTTGCTGACGGAGAGCAAACACTCGACATTTTTGCCGCTACGGCTGATGAAACTGAAGGAGCGCTTCTCCATCTCATGACTGATCATGGCGTTATTTATCAGGATGCTAAGATTAACGAATGCATCGTGGTTCTTCATATGGCAACAAGCCATGTTGGTCCCGAATACCTCTCCCAAGAGCATTTTGCCGATTATTTCGTCTCTACTCCATCTTGAAAGCTTAGCCATGGCGAGATTCCACTCGGAACACCAGCCAAACTCGTCTGCGCCAAAAATAGGGGGAATAATTGAGCTTGGGTTCTGCACTATGGCTTTATAGTCTCCTTCTATCCTCGTAAACTTATCCATAATCATCTTATGGCTCGTAATATCTTGAGCTACAAAGCACACTCCGACGACATTATCGTGAATGTTCCTACTGGCACATGCATTCACCACCAGAATGATCGGGCCTTCATCTCTTCGAACGCCGAAAGTTTTTACTTGAAATTCAAAATTTTGAACCTCTTTTCCTGATCAATGGCAAGAAAGGAGGAAGATAAAAATTACAAATTACACAACTTATTTCTTATTTTTTTATAAAGTGTCAACATAGTCCCCCAACTATTTACATAGAGTCAATTCAGTCCCAGAGTCTATAAAATTGTTCCCACACTCTTTTAATATGGGTTGCAATAGCCTAGAAGTAGGACTATTTAACCCCCATTAAAATAATCTAGGAACTAAATTGACACTTATATAGACTCCTGGATAAAAATGGTCCACTGCAAAGAGTTATGAGACTATTTTAACACTTTTCTCTTTCTAAAAATAAGGGGCATTTAGATAGCACACAATTCTTATGTGTACACATCTCACACCTAAACTTTAATATTTACACACACAACACTCAAATCTTTAATATCAAATCAAAAATAACATTACTATCACCTTTTAAAAGCCAGAGCTCAATGTATGAACATATGAAAGTTTAGATGTGAGATATGTAAACATATAAAGACTGTGTGTTACATATATAAATTTCCCTAAAAATAAACGAGAAGCAAAGTGATGAAATGTTGAAAATTATTAGGTGAGGGATTTAAATTAGACTAACCCTGCAGTGCCGAGAGAAGCATCTTCCTAACTTCATCCATAGAAGAATCCTCAACAAGGGTGAGCAAATGTTTCCCCATGGCTTCATCAACAGAAAGCCCGGTTACTTCTGCAATTTTCATGTTCCATCCATTTATGAGACCATCAACATCGACCGCCAGAATCGGCACTGTTGCCGTCTCAATCAACCGAACCATCTCATTCGTAACCACTCGCAGCTCCAACATTCCTTCAAGTTTAAGCTCGTTCATCTTAAGCTCGTCCATCTTAGAATCAAGCGTACCCTTCTGCAGTGCCTTATTAGCACCATCGAATGTGCCTCGAAGTATAAGTTGCAAGGAATGAATGGCATCCATCTCATGGTCGCTCCATGGAAAGCTCCTCATTTTAACAACCTCAAGAAAAGCCTTGAACGAGGATCGCGGATGCATTCTGCTCCCATCATCTTTACCAGATGGGTCATGCTTTTCACCGCCCCATTTAATTTCAGTCGCCGCAGGTGACCTGAACCAGAAAATCATGTCGTTTGAAGTAATCCGAGCAGCCGCCATTCCGCAAACCACATCACTGAACGAATAAGCACCGGGATACCCAGCTTCGTGCAGGCTGTCAGTACTCAACCCCGTGTAATCCGTGTGACAATTACGAAGCCAGTAAGCAAGATCAAAAATTTGAGACTCAGTCGGGGTAACGCCAAGCCGCCAAACTTTGTTTTGGTAAACAAGAGCGGCACCATCACACTTAACCAAATCCATAATGTTAGGAGTCTGATTTATGATTCCAAGAGGAACAGAATCTCTGAGCAGCATATCACACAACATTGTCTGGGTTCTCAGAATGTTCTTCTCCCTAATCTGGTTTTCAAGCTCAAATTCTTTGTTCACATGTATGGCGAAAACTTGCATTAAGAATTCGCAGGCATATCTTAGCGGGAACGGAACGAACCTTGGAGTCTCATTATGGCAGACGACCAGTCCCCAAAGCTTCTTGTTTTTCTGCTCCTCATGGTTCTGTTCCACCGCATCAGCATCTTCCTCGTTTCCGTTCACTATCACAGCCATGACCAGGGAAGCAATGGAGTTCATGTTTTCCATGTACTGTATATGGCAACTGTGAGGAGCCCTGAGCGTGCTGCCGCAGAAACTGATATCAAAAGGAAGTCTGTCATCTTGAAAAATCCGCACATGCTTTGCACGGCAATCGCAGATCATTCGAACTTTGTTCTTCATGAACAGAAACCTCGCAGCCTGAGGTATATCGGTGGCGGGATAATGGAGGCCGAGATATGGCTCCATGCCCGGCTTCGTTATCTCTGCGAAAACCTCGCCATGATCATCTTCATGAAACTTGTACGCCATGACTCGATCGTACCCTGTCAGCTCAAACACCTCTTCAACAACAGTGTTACAGAGATTCTTCATGCTCCCGCCACGCAGAGATTGGAGCCTAGAAATGGCCTTCGCGGCGAGCTTGTAAGACTGCAAAGCTCCTGCGGCAGTCATGGGGACATCGCTGGGCTTCACCGGCTCTAAATCTACAACGAGACAGCCAGTGACCCTATGGACAATAGCGTAAAACGGTCTACCAGAGCTCTTGCAGTGAACGAGAATCGGATTGAGCAGAGAGACCTCTGGGAAGCCTAAAGCCTTCTGAAGTGCGGCGGTACTGGGGGAAGTAAAGAGGCTCTTTACATCAGTTCCGATGGAGAGGGTTTGGTGATCGCCGACGGTGGGAACGGCATGGCTGACCATGGTGAGCATCTCTGAGGCGTTCTCGGAGAAAGCTATGACCTTGAAAGTTTTCTCATCTAAAGCTAGCAGGCAACCAAATGGTTGGATTAGATTGGCTCTTTGAATGTGTTGCAGGTAGGCGACAACCTTCCCTGATCTTCTTCCGTCGGGCGGAGCCTTCACTGACTGAGAGTAGTCGAAGGAAGTACCCATGGCTTCGAACTCAGAATCAAGCTTCGCATCCACAGTGGTCTGAGCCATTGCTCTAGCAGCACTGTGCTTGCTTTTGCTGGAGCTAGAAGATGAATGTGATGGTTTTGAGGAAGACATTTTTTTATATATTTTTTTTCAGAAGAAAACAGCTTTCATGTCATCAAATGAACAGTATCAGAATACTCAAAACCAATCCGAAGCTCTAGAACCCGCAGGGGAAAATATTTTCTGCTGCAAATCAATGATTATTTTCTCAACAAGATTCACGCACCTTCAATCATCTTGAGATTCTGCAAGCTCCAAATCCCCAAATGATACATACTTTGAACTCCAAAGCTCATAAAAAGGTTTCGTTCGAATTAAAAGCTTACCTTTTTCCGATCTCCGCCCAGCAAAGAAAAATCAAAATCCAAACTTTTTCCTGAGCCAGAATCCTAAAGAGAGAAAAAACCCTAACTTACACTCCTTCACCACTCTCCCGTCACCAAAAGCAATAAAGCTCGGAAACCAACTGCGCACGAGAATCGAATGCGTGGCAAGGAGCGAACAAGAGGGGGACCAAAGCCCTACGAGTGATCCGTTGGATTAAAGCAGGGGATTTGGGGAAGACGGAGGTGGTCTGGGCAGTTGGCGATGGTGGTAAAGCGCAGGGACGCCACCTCCGATAAACAAATCGCTGTCGACCACTTCTGAGAGGTAATGTTTGGCAAAGTCCATGGCAAGTGGATGAGGTAGAGCAATAAGATAATGTAAAAGCCGCAGCAAGAAACCAGAGGAAAACCGGGCGAGCCCCCACCTGCTTCAACCGGATCACGGATTTTTGCGTCTTTTTTTTTTATTCATTATGTATATGTTGGCCATTTACATGCAGCCCATCCAATTTCTATGGATTTACATGTATAAAACATTAAAAATCAAATCTTTTACATTTACATTGCTCAAATCTTTTGTATGATATCAATGATATCACTATTTTGACTTTTAAAAAGCGAAATGTAATTTTTCATGTATTAATATTGTGGCATATATTGAAAAAAACAAAATTTTGTGAAAGATATGTAAATACTAAGATTTGAGTGATATGTATGTAAATATTTCTTTTTTTTTCATTTGACTTTTTTTCTGTGATAGATGAAAAATAATTTGAAAATGACATCAAAATAATTTCTTTCATAAAAAAATGCTTATAGTTTATTACACTAATAAGACATTTATCTTATAATACATTTCAACATCAAAATGATGATATAATATGATCCACATTTTTATAAGATAGGATAGGACCAATCGCCATTTAAATTGAATGGAAATCATTTGACAAAACAAAAGAAGAAAGAGATGCTGAATGATGAATGAGGGACTCTTAAGAAAATGTATTGTTATAAAAATAGCTAAACAATTCGTTTTGATGCTTAAAAATATGATGTATCGACTTAGACTCAATATTTTCTTAAAATTACATAAAGTTGAAATATTAAATAAAATGCTAAGGAAGATAATAGCAACTTTGCATGTTTCATTAAGAAAATTTCATTCCTTTATGGAACAAGAGGTGCACTAAATATGTGCTCAAAATGATGAAAGAAGTGCGGCAAAAATGATAAACATGCACATGTGAAATACACTGTAAAATAGAAGTAAACATGTTTAGGGTTAAAAATATCTTATCTACTTGTTGGCTTCATTTTTTGCCCATTTTGAGATCACTAAGATGTCGAGCACCCTAATTATAAAAATTCATTTTTTAAATGGTTTGTCGGGACGCAACGTGATGTTGTGTGTCAAATCAGCAACGGATTAGGTGCCCTTGCGCCCTGACATTTTCAGGCTCCCCAATCCCAATTGGAAGGACAACATTGTGGGAGCTAACGTGGCATTAGGCATGTCATAAGAGTTGTGGTGCCCTCCAATTCAGGTCTAATTGAGGTTCGCAGTTGGACAGTCGTTATGATGGCATGTTAATGAGGCATATGCCACATCAATAGCGCCCTAGTGTCTCATGCTGAGCTACGGTGTCTCAGTTTCCTCGAATCAGGCTTCAAGCCGCACGCCATATCTCGCCAATTGACGTGTATCACCACTTCACCAGTGTTGTGGCGCCATGTCCAGCGTCGCGACACTAAACTGTCCTTTTTTCCCTATAAATGGAGTAATCTTACATTGTCCCCAAGGGTTGGAATTTTTGAATCTAGCAACCCCTTGAGCCCCATGGTACTAACCAAGGGTTTACCCCCATTTTTTAGTGAGTTTTCGTCTTCATAGATAGTCATTTTCAGAGTTAGAGGAGTTCATGGGCCCAAATATTAGATTTTTTTTTTTGTGGGTGTTTGGTTGTGTTATTAGGGATCTGGTTATTGATTTAACTGACCCAGAGGACTGTTTTTTTTTTTTAGGGCCCTTATTGAGCTTTTCAAACATAGTTTCTCCTACTCCAACTGCAAGAGTTTGCTCCTTCCTCTTGCCTCGGTTTCCCTCCCCATTCTAGTAGAGTCCCTGACACTGTTGTCGCAATTTGTGGTGGTCACAAGAGCCAGTAAAGTGGTTGTTGAAACTGTCAGGTGTGAGACGTCATCCAATCATCATGTAGGTGAGATATCTCTCTTTTTTTGTGATTTTCTTTTTAAGAAAACCCAAGATTTTATGCTGGAGTAACTAGGTCGGGCTATAAGAGGGTACATGGGTTGGATTCCTTTGTTTCCCTATCAGCGCTTCTTTAAAATTATGGTCTTAGCTTACCCCAAAGTCGTAATACAACTTTTTGGGCACTATGGTACTTTTTTACTTGTGAGTGTGAAATGAGATTTTAATACATCACTCAGTGCTCAATTTTCATTTCAACTTATTGGCAGTCATGTGTCAATACCTCCAAAATGATGCAAGGTCATCAAATTCGATTCAAGATTGTGCTTAGATGCTAGTTTTCAACATCATAGTGCCAAATGCTGAGTGGACCTTATTTCCACTATGCTAGAGTTGTAGCATTAGTTTAGGTGTCATGACACTAGCCTCTATTTTGCAGTCTTGCATTGTACCTTTTGTTGACAAAAATATGGCTCCAAAATCCTCTTCCTTAATTGTGGTACTGGTCTTTGGCACTGCCGCATTGGGAGTTAACTAAATTCCTATCTTGCTTTGTCTTACGTATCGCTTAGTTGACGCACTGCCTTCAGCAGTGCAACAAATATGGGACACCCATTGTTCAGTTGAGACCAATTTTTTATGGACTAAAACTATCATCTGTTGCCTTTCATAAACCAAGAAGTATTATGGTTTCTCTCTTGGTCTTTGGTATACCCTTTTGCAAGGGTGGCTACCACATTTAGCTTTTTTGGAGATGCCTTTAGGTCAAGTTTAGTTGTTCTAAATGGGTCTTTTTTCTTTATAGATTTTTGACATGCGGACTTGCCTCATGAAATCGTTGGTACACCCTTTCATATGGGCGGTGACTCTGCTTTGTCTGGCTGATAGGTTGGGCTTACACTGTTTGTGTTGCCCTTTTGGCATGACTCGATGTAAGCTCGTTTTCTTCTTTTTTATTCTTTGCGGACCACATGTGTGGGACATGTTGGATAGCATTAGAGTCATATAGCTAATTAAGTATAGGTTGCATTGAGTATTCACATTATCAACAAAGTCTCCCTTTTATTTAGAAGATAAAAAGGGTTAGGTTGGAGTGATCTTTGTTAATGCCCAAGCGCCCCCTCTTTTCATCTGTCAGATCTCATAAATTTTTCAATGAGATAATGTTTCACGATTCTGTAGTACTTTCTCTCTAACGATAAAGGTTTGTTTTCTATGTTAATGCCTCTACATGTTTGCCTTGCTTATTCTCTTTTCCACTTGTTGCATTTTATCATTTATGGATATATTGGGCATCATGATCAGATTCTTGAGGATAAGATAGTTTTCGCTCATACATATCTTGCAACTTTTCTTGATTTTCAACCTCTATTGTAGGGTTTTAACCTATGCCAGTATCGTTAAGGCTTGTCTCCTGAGACATATTCTTTGTGGCAAGCTTTATTTATTGCTTGTGTTTGTTTATGCATGTGAGATCTTGCTATTCAAAGTATGGTACTATTTCTTGTATGTGTTCATACATATCTCAACATGTTTTCTTTACTTTTAATCATATATGTTCCATGTTTGTGGCTTTATGCTTATAAAAACTTCCAAGCTCATGACTTTATGTCCATACAAACTTTGATGCATATATCTTTATGTTCATGCAAACTTTCAAACTTGTGGTTTTATGTTCATGTAGACTTTCATGCTTCCCTTTATATTCATGTAAACTTCCATGCTTATGACTTGATGTGCCTTTTAGACTTCCAAGCTTGGGTTTATATTCATGCAAGGGAGTAAGTTGTAGCTTTGTGAATTTGATAGAATAATTGTTTAGAATAATTCTTCTTATATACTTGTAATGGGCTATTTTCATAATTTTGATGCTTAGGAGGCGATTTGCAAAGTTTATATAGTTGAGTGACATTAATTTATATATTTCAAGAAAGTTCTAAATAATTTCTTTATAAAAAAGTATATATAAATTCAAAGGCACTCAAAATGAATTATTTTTATAAATAAAAATAAATACTATACGTGTGTGTTTGTGTGTATGTGTGTCAAAATGTGGTCTAAATAAACTATTTTTGTAAATAAGCTCATATAAATGTGCCCTCAAAAGAATTATCTCTACCTAAAGAAACTATGAAAGAAACAAAAATAAAAGAAAGTTTATGTATTTTTTAATCTCGGATATCTTCATAAACATATGTTCTTAAAATTTTATTTATTTTAAAGCTTAAGTCTTTAAAGATGATATGAATTGTCAATAAAATGAAATATCAGGAAATAAGAACTTTAAGAAAAAATTTTTAAGAGAAAACTTAACATAACTTTTTCAATAAAACTTAACAAAACATTTTCTTAAGAAAAAAAAAATAAATAAACCTTTTTGATAAAACTTAACAAAACTTAACAAAAACTCATTTTAAAATAAAACTTAACAAAATTATTGTTGATAAAACTTCACAGAAACATTTCACTATATAACCTTCTTAAAAAAAAAATTCAAGTGCAACTTTTTTTAGTAACAAAATATAACTCAAATAAAGCTTTTAAAATAAAACGTAAACTTTTTCAAAACTCAAAATCAAAACTCAAATTCAAACTTTTTAAAACCTAAATAAAATATTCCCTAAACAAAACAGAAGTAAAACAACACATAACTAAAAATTTCAAAACAAAATCTAGACAGAACCCCTTCAAAATAGAACTTAAGCAAATACTTTTCTAGAAGAAGCATAAACAAAACTTAAAAAAGAAAAGGCCTAAATACGACCTTTTGTTAAACTAAAGTGAATTTCTTAAAATATTCTCAAACAATAGTGAAGCTTTTTAAAAGTAAAATCTTTTTATGCGCTTACCAACTATACAAATTCTCACAAAAAAAAAATTATGTGACTTTGCAAATTCTTTTGAATAATTATAGAATACAAAACTTGTAAGTGTTTATATGATTAGCTCTTGAACGAATATTTTCTCGCTTAGAAACATGCAATTTATAAGTTTAACTCCTAAACATATAAATCTTGAGCAATTTTGTACTTATATCTTTCTCACATTATACTAACCCACATACTTAATAATATATTTGTGTGACAAAAAAATATTTTACAAAATTACTCTTTCATATATGTGAAAATCTTAATTATATGCATGAGACTTCAGTGTGAAAAGTGTAAGTATAAAAAGCTTGAACATGAGACGTTTCTAAGCAAGTGAACTTCAACAATAAAAACT